AAAAAAAAAAACAACCCCTCCCAGGCAATCGGGAAGGAGGTGAGAGCACAAACAGCCTCCGGAACCGTAAAAAAACAGCAGACAGAAGCTGGATCCTTCCACTCAGCCCTGGGACAGCGTAGGTCGAGCTGCCACGGCGAGGGCAGAGGGCTTCCTAAGGTCCTGCCAGTGATCCTGCAGCTCTGCTGAGGATTTTGCGCCGACCGTCACCAAAGAGCACCCACGCGGCGCAGTGCCACTGCCCTGAGCCTCCCCACGCGACGAGGAGCAGCTCTGCAAGAGGCACGGCAGAGTACAGCCGCCCCCGGGGCCGGCGGGGGACAGACACCTGTCAATCAACGTGGCACAGAGACAGGATCTACCCACCTGGAGGGGTGACGCCAGGTCCCAGGGAGGTGACAACAGGAGTCGGGACAGACGGAGGAGGAGGAGCGTCGGCGAAGAGCTGATGGGGCCGATCTGCCTGCGAGAGCGGGTTCTGGGCTGCCAGGAGACGCTCGGCGGCTGAGCCGTGCCGTTCGCCTTTGGAATCTTTTTTGAAGGCGTAGGAAACGGTGATGGGCCTGTTGCAGAGGTACTGTCCGTTCATGGCCTCGATGGCAGCATCCGAGGCATCGAAGCTGGCAAAGTTGATGAAGGCGTAACCCTTCGAGTTGCCCGTGTCGGGGTCTCGCATGATCTTGGGCGTCTGCAGGATGACCCCAAAGGCGCTGAAAGTGTCGTACAACAGCTTTTCATCGATTTCGGGATCCAGGTTGCCGATGAAGATGTTGGCTCCTACGTCCAAGTTTTTGTTGTGGGCCGAGGCTTTGTTCACTCGGATCGGTTTCCCATACAACTTGATCATGTTCATGATCTTAATGGCATAATCCGCGTCCTCCTCGCTGAGGAACTCCACAAACCCATAGCCTGCAACAAGTCCCCAGACAGAGCTTTAGGAGAGGGCAGACCCACGGCCTCCCACAGCTCGTCCAGCCCCACCTGATTTAAAACCAGAAAGCCCAAAGCTCCCCTTAGGGGAAGGAAGATGATCTCCCCCCTCTCTTTCCGCAGTAATCTCTCTCTGACTGTCCCTGGCAAAAGTATTTTATTCAACGTGAAGCTTTTGAGAGAGAACACTAAATATCTCACCTTGGTGCTGGCCTGTGACTCGATCCTTGGGCATGTGGGTATTGACCACCGGTCCCGCCTGGAGAAAGAGCTCCCAGAGCAGCGGCTCGCTGACCTTCTCATCCAACCCCCCGACGTAGACCGTCGCATCTTGAGCGGAGGGGAAAAAGAAAAGCTGAGTTAGGCCCGTGAGCCCGAGAAGCTGGAAGTCTCGGCTGCGCCAGGACTTGATGCTGAAATTGCTCACGTCAAAGA